TGAGATTTATGTACCAGCATCTAATAAGATTTATCTTTTCTTTCTTTCATTTAGTTCTATGATATATTGACTGATTTTTTTGTTATTAGATTATTCATGTTACTTCAAAATTAAGTCCCACTTGATTTAACAATATACACTTGATTTACTTTAATGTGTGTTGATTTTTTTTTTGGTAGCATTTTGTTAAAGATTTTTGCATCAGTATTCACAGAGGGTATTGGTGTGTGTGTGTGTGTGTGTGTGTGTGTGTGTGTGTGTGTTTTAATAGTCATCTGGCTTGGTAATAGGTAACTTCCAAACTCATAAAATGAGTTTGGAAGTATTCCCTGTACTGCAATATTTTAATAAATTTTGGTGCTGTGGTTTGGTTATTGATGGTCTTCCAAATGCCCATGTGTTAAAGTCTGGTCCCCAGGATGGCATTACTGGGAGGTGGCAGAACCTTTAGAAATGGGAAGTCTTTAGGTTACTGGGGGTATGCCCTTGAAGGGGAGTATGAGACCCAAGGTCTTTTTTTTTTTTTCTTTCTGACTATCCATGACATTGACTACTTTTGGTCAAAGCAACAAGCAACAAGGACAATCATGGGTTGGAACTCTAAAACTATGAGCCAAAATAAAACTTTTCTCTTTATATGTTGATTATACCAAGTATTTGTTACAGTGACAGAAAGCTGACTAACACAACTGGTGTTTCTTCTTTAAATGTCAGTGAAGCCATTTGGCCCTGGGCTTTTTGTGTTTTTTTTTTTTTCTGCAAAAACAAAAATTCTAATTCAGTCCTATCAGTTATAGGTATATTCATATTTTCTATAAAATTATTAAATTGTTTCTAGAAATTTTTCCATTTTTATCTGGTTTATCCAATTTGCTGGTATACAATTATTACTCTCTTGTATTCCTTTTTTGTAGTATTATCAGTAAAATGCTCTTTCATTTCTGATTTTAGTTATTTTGGGACTACAAATTATTTTTTTAAATACTATAGCTGGGCATGGTGGTGCATTCCTCTAATCCTAGTGATTTGGGAGGCTGAGGCAGGAGGATTACAGGTTCAAACCCAGACTCAGTAACTTAATGACTTAGTGACACCCTCTCTCAAAACTAAAAAGAAAAGAACCACAAATATAGCTCAGTGGTAGAGTACCCCTGGGTTCAAGACAAAGAAACAAGCTAAAAACAACTATAGAGCTGAAGTGATCTTCTAGTTGCATCATACCAAGTGGTACATGATATCTACAAAAAATAATAGTTATTATAATCTTTAGGTATTGCTTCTCAGGCAGATGAGAAGCCTCTCAAGGGCAATTTGACAGTATCACACACATTTTTTTTGAGAGAGAGAGAGAGAATTTTTTAATATTTATTTTTTAGTTCTCCACCGACACAACATCTTTGTATGTGGTGCTGAGGATCGAACCCGGGCCGCATGCATGCCAGGCGAGCGCGCTACCGCTTGAGCCACATCCCCGGCCCTTACACACATTTTTGATTGTCATAATTAGGAAAGAGTTGCTACTGGTATTTAGTCGATAAGGAGAGGGATAGTAGTAAACATTATATTTGACAAGTCAGGTCCACCACAGCAAAGAATTATCTGGCCCATAATATCAAGAGTGTGAGGTTGAGAAACCCTACGTTAAAGAGTTTTTGCCAGATTCTGCCACTATAGTTAGTATTTTCCCCTTTACACACTGCATTTCTTTGAAGCATGTCAATAGTTGCAGTTTCCTCTGAGGGCCTGGGGTTCAGATATGTCCCCCACATCCTGGAGGAGGTTAGAATCTAAATATATCATTTGGAATTCTTCCATAAGGAAGCTCTCTTCCATGTTTACTTATAGTATTGGACTCATGTATATTCCACCTTGTAAACGCCTTCTGGTTGGCTTTGTGCTCTTTAAAAAAACAACACAAAACACACACACACACACATATGTGTGTGTATTTTAGTTTTAGATGGACAGGATCATTATTTTTTTATCTTTATGTAGTGCCGAGGATCAGAACCAATGCCTCACACATGCTAGGCAAGTGCTTTACCACTGAGTTACAACTCCAGTCCAAGGCTTTGTGCTCTTCTGACATGCCTTTATCCTCTTGTCATTAGATTTCTTGTTTATTTTCTGTACTACAGGATGATTCAAGTTCATCTCACACTTTCCGTGTCCTAGCCCTAGAATCATCCATTTCTCAAAGGAGCCCTGCTGGCAGCTGGAAGTTTGCTGGGGGCACTTCCAGCTGCCAGCAAACTTCCAGCTGCCGGCTGATGATTGGCTTCCAGCGGCTGATTGGCTCCTCTGCGGTGATTGGGCTGTTTCCCTGCCCTTTCAGACCACGGAGCTGCTCATTGGGGAACTTCTTTGGCTCCACCCATGCAACCCAGCCAATTGGCCTCAAGAGCAGGAGGATTGTGGGAGGTGGGGAGGCTGGTGTTGGGGTGAGAGGCTTGTGGGAAGCCGGTGGTGGCAGTTGGGCTCTGAGGGTTTTTTCCTGAGGAGCTGTTTTGTTTGGCGTGTGTGGTTCTAAAAATAAAGTTAGTTTCTTTTGACAAGTGGCTCCTGAATTGTGCCCAGCCAGACTGCGGCAGAGCCCTGATTCCTTTTCCGGAGAATAATACTTAGAAACCAAGAACTGGGTAGGCTGTTACTGGAGTATCATTTCTTCTAGGTCACCTTGGAGAACAGAGCTGGGTAGTGTGTGTACTAACTCATATATAGAAATATGTCCTGTAGTTGCTTTTCTCTCTTTGAGTTACGTATGTATACAATATATACATAAGTTAATATTGATGTCTCTGACTCTAATAGATCTGATAATAGATCTGGTAATTTCTTATTCAACACTTATTCACAAATTATAGGCATGAAAAATTAAAGTGTCTGGATCAGGTGATCACCTTAAAGGATGACAAATTTAGGAGCTCCACAAAGCTCCCTTTACTTTCTGATCAAAATGGAATCCTTCCTACTCTTCCTCCTTTGTTTTTTTTTAGTTGTAGTTGGACACAATACCTTTATTTTATTTATTTATTTTTATGTGGTGCTGAGGATCAAACCCAGGGCCTCGCACATACTAGATGAGCACTCTAGTGCTGAGCCACAACCCCAGCCCCCTACTCTGAATTCTTATAAGCATCTTATGATTACATTGAGTCATGTGTTTTCTCAATCACTAGCAATACATGCTTTATTAGAAGATATCATATATTCTTTGCATAGAGTATAACCCCCCAAAAGTCTTGACTACATAATTTAACAACATCTATTAAATTAAAATATTTAATTAGATAATTATGGGAGATAATCAAAGAAAGTGAGAGTAGAATTTATCAAATGGCTAACACCAAAAAGATAAGGATAATTTTTTATACTTGTCTTTTTAAAAACTATATTTTTCAGTTGAAAATTCTGCATGTATGTTTCCCTTTATCAATACATAGGTTTTTTTTAAGTCTGATGAATGCTACCACTTGAAAAACAAGAGTAAAGTTCTTTTTATTTTTAGACAGATTATACCATACAAATTAATCATGTAGGTCATTACTTTAGCTTCTGTAGAGGAAAAATTTGCTATCTTCTCTATACTTACACATGTCTGTTACCAGAGATATGTGGGTTTTTGAACTCCAGCAATGGGATATCACATAATTCAATTCTGACACTATCTATCTGGAGTTCTCTCAGACTTCTCAGGCTAAAGACAGTTTCATAAGACTGTCAGCAACTTTAGGCACATATTACATGTTCATATTTTCACTGGTGCTTCTAACTGACTATAAATCACAGGTTCCTATAACCCTCTCTATGGGTCTGATTTTTTGCTAAAATGGTTCATTGAACTCAGGAAAACAGTTTACTTACTAGATTACTGGTTATTATAAAATAATGCAACTCAGAATCAGCTAGCCGGAAGAGATGCATAGGGCAAGGTTCTGTGAGAAGTGACACAGAACTTCTATGCCCTGTGGGCTACCTTTCAAGTACCTTCTGAGTGTGTCAACCTGGAAGCTCTCTGAATCCTGTCCTTTTGGGCTTTTATAAAGGCTTCATTAATGTAGGTGTGGTTGACTAAATCATTGGCCAGATTAGTCACTTAGTAGCTGTTTTGGTCTCAGACAGACTGACTTATATCATACTGTGTTCAAGTAACTTTTGTTTTACTAAATAATGGCCCCAATGCATAATAGTGGTAATGCTGGCAATTTGGATATACCAAAGAGAAGCCAAGACACTTCCTTTAGTAAAAAGGTGAAATTTTTATTTATGGAAAGAAAAAAAATAGTATGCAGAGGTTGCTAAGATCTATGGTAAGAATGAATCTTCTACCCGTGAAATTGTGAATAGAAAAAAATGCATTCTCGCTTTGGTGTTGCACCTCGAATTGTAAAAGTTATATCCAAAGTGCAGGAAAAGTGCTTAGTTAAGAAGGAAAAGGCATTGCATTATAAAGTTCAGTGCTGTCCAAAGTTTCAGGCTTCCACTGGGTATACCCTGTGGATACAGAGGAAATACTGTATGTATTTCTTATTATAAATAACAATATCACAGCCATCATTTTTGTTCAATAGATGACAAGATAAGCAGTAATAGAAAAATCTTCATATTTTGACAAAGAAATTTGCTTTTAAAAATCCTGTTCCACATTTCAAAGCTGTAATTAAATGGCAGTGAGAAAGTGATTTCACATTTTAAAGTTTATGGGCTGCATTACTGACAGTGAAATAAATCAGCATTTGTTGTGTATAGTACAGGAACTCACACAAACTCATGCTTACTAGGAAAACCAAACCAAACCAAAACAAAATAACTTTTGATAAAAGGGAGCACTTGGGATATCTAGTTAGTAAGCTTAATACCACAATAGCATAGTGTGTTCACACACGATGAATACATAGATACCTAGTGTGAGCATAAGGTAGGACTCTCTAGTTGTCAGACATCTATATAAATGCCAACTTAGATATGAAAGAGATTTGTTTTCTCCACATTCTCTAAAATAATTCCTATATACCATTGGTAATATAGACTCACTAAAGATTTGAGATTCTAAAACTAATACATTTCCTTTTGAGTTTTGATTAAACACCTCTACACACTGAGTTTTAAAATATTTGATAACTTCTGCATTAAATGTTATTATATATTTCTTACAATGATACAACTCCTTTTTTGTGGAATATGTCTGAATAAAAGACAGCTTTTCTTACATTATAGCAAAGATAGAATTTCTTTCTATTGTTGCTAACAGACAATTGGTAAAAAAAAAAATTATTCACACTGAAGAGTTTCCCACAAATCTCAGAACTCTTCCTCAGATTTTTTTCTTAATTTTAGTAATGTATGGGCTTCAAATTAAATTGTCATTATAAAAACTGATTTAGTTTTCTCTCCAGTGGGTTTTGTTTTTAAATTGAGCATAAGAGCTAAATATTGATTAATACCTTTTTCATGGTCATCAATAGCATTCATAAGATTTTTGTTCTGGTATAGTGTCTCTGGAACTGAATAAAGTTGGTGTATATAGTAAGGGTTTCTCCCCATTCATCATATTTAAACTGTCTTGCCCAGAATGGAGTTTCTCTTGATTAATAAGATCAGAGAATTGGCTAAAACTTATGCTGCACTGAACACACTGGTACATCTTGTCCTCAGTGTGGATCTTCTGGTGATCAGTGAGATCTATTCCTATAGTGAAGGTTTTCCCACACGCATCACATTTATATGATTTTTTCACCTGTGTGGATTTTTTGATGATTAATGAGTTCAGAGCGATGACTAAAGCTTCTGCTACATTGGTCACATGGATATGGTTTCTCCCCAGTGTAGATTCTCTGATGCAGGATGAGAGCTGAGCACTGACTGAAAGCCTTCCCACACTCATTACATTTATAAGGTCTTTCCCCAGTGTGGACTCTTTGGTGTCTTATGAGGTCTGAGTTCTGACAGAAACTTTGGCTGCACTGTGTGCATGGATATGGTTTTTCTCCAGTGTGAATTCGCTGATGAAGAATAAGGTCAGAACTCTGACTGAAGGTTTTCTCACAACTATCACAACGATAGGGCTTTTCACCAGAGTGCACTCTCAGATGTTTAGTGAGGTCTGAACTTTGACTAAAAACTTTTATTGCACAAATTACAAGCATATGGTTTCTCTCCAGTGTGGATTCTCTGATGTAGAATAAGGTTGGAGCTCTGACTAAAGGTTTTCCCACAGTCGTCGTCACATTCATAGGGTTTCTCACCTTTATGAATTCTATGATGTTTAACAAGATCTGATCTTCTACTAAACATTTTATTGCACTGATTACATGGATAAGGCTTCTCTCCAGTGTGAATTCGTTGATGATTAATAAGATCTGAAAGCCTACTGAAAGTTTTGCTGCACTGATTACATGAATAGGGTTTTTCTCCCGTGTGAATTCTTTGATGCAGAATAAGAACTGAGCTTTGATTAAAAGCCTTTCCACACTCATTACATTTATAGGGCTTCTCTCCAGTGTGGATCCTTCGATGTTTAATAAGGTCTGAATTCTGACTGAAACTTTTGCTACATTGATTACATGGATATGGCTTCTCCCCAGTGTGGATTTTCTGATGCAGAATAAGGTCTGAGCTCTGAATGAAGGCTTTCCCACATACATCACACTTATATGGTTTCTCCCCAGTGTGGATTCTTTGATGTTTTATAACATCAGAACTTTGACTAAATTGTTTGTTACACTGATTACACGTATAAGGCTTCTCTCCAGTGTGAATTCTCTGATGTTTAACTAGGTCTGAGCGCTGCCTAAAACTTTTATTACAATGACTGCATTGATAAGGTTTCTCTCCTGTATGGATTCTCTGATGTATAATAAGATCTGAACTCTGACTAAAGGCTTTCCCACATTCATCACATTTATAAGGTTTTTCACCAGTGTGGACTCTTTGATGTTTAATAAGGTCTGAACTCCGAATGAAACTTTTAATACACCAATTACAAGGATAGGGTTTCTCTCCAGTATGAATTCTCTGATGCATAACCAGAGCTGAGCTCATTCGAAAGACCTTTCCACAATTATCACATTCATAGGGTTTTTTCCAGTGGTTTCTCTGGTGCTGAATAAGGCCTGTACTCCAAGCAAAGCTTTGTCCACATTCCTCACAGTTATATTGTCTTCTTTTAAAAAGGGTCTGATACTTTTTATTCAATTTATCTCCAAATTCACAGAATTCTCTGCCGTCAGAGTTCTGGAGAATATCCTCTTTGGGATTACCAAACCCTTCAGTCAACATTTCAATTTTTGCTGTAATTTCTTACTCTGAAGCTGGTTGTCCAATTTTGATCTTAGTCTCAATATTTGGAACAATAAACAAAATCCAAATGGAAAGTGTTCTCCATGCTATAAGAAAGTTCAGGTGAAACAGATTGCAAATATAACAATATGGGAATGCTGAAATTACCCTTTTCTTTTTTTTTTTTTTTTTTTGGTACCAGGGATTGCACCTGACAACTGAGCTACATCCCCAGCTCTATTTTGTATTTTTTATTTAGAAATAGGGTCTCAGTGAGTTGCTTAGTGCCTCACTTTTGCTGAAGCTGGCTTTGAACTCACAGTCTTTTTGCCTCAGCCTCACAAGCTGCTGGAAGAAACAATAGTAATGGATCATATTAATCATTTATAGAAGTGACTTACCAGATGTGCTCTGTATGATTATTAAAGGACATCTGGGAATACTGAAACCTATTTACTTTGATTAGGAAAGTATGACTAAATTAGAGCTAATACACAAGCAATTTATTTTATTCACATATTTAAGGTAAGCAGTATAAAAGAGTGAAGAAAAATGAAAAGAAGTTGATTAGGCTCTACCCAGCATTGTGCGGCTATTTGGGCCAAAAAATAAGGTATTAATTAAAAAAAAAAAAGAAAAGAAAGAAAGAAAAGGAAATCAAAACCTTTCCATTTTTTTTTAAAGACAGAGTGGGTCTCATGAAGTTGCTTAGAGCCATTCCTTCTTCTGACAAGAGTTTTCTATGTGAAGCAAATCCTGACTTATTATTTATTGGGCACTGTAAGACTTAATGCTTGATCACAGAGTTCCAGATGGCTATATATTACAAACGGCCATTGTGTACTTGTTACCGATTATAAAAAATGATGCAAAACCCAGCATTCCATTGTAAAATTAACTAGCAGTAAATTCCAGGGGCTAGGGATTTGGATTCCATATTACTTTTTCCTATGGTTTTGTTACTTCTCTCCCAACGACCTTATAGGAATTCCCTGTTACTAGTTAACAGACAAGCGGAAATTAAACAGTCAGTTTTCAGATGGGTTTGGCAGCATGTGAGCACTAGCCCAAAACTTTTACTTATACCCTTACTTAGTGATGGCCTCAAAAACATTGATAAAGGCAAATCTTTCCAGTTGGCAGAATTTCAGGTATACATGTGGTTATATACATCTGTCCACTTTTCATGAAAGGCAGCACAGTCTAAGAAATATTCCTATATTGATTTTAGGTAGTTACTAATGGGTTATCAGAATATATAGTTACTTTAAAAGAATTAGATTGGAATAGCAGAAATGAGGATTATAGAAGCAAAATATGAGGATGGACTTCCTAGAATGAGCAAAGAATGTGAAAATATTTGTGTTCCTTGTGAATCCTCAGTAAAAGGCATCTACTGTAGAGAAAGAAGCCCCTAGAACAATTAGGCATAATGATCCATAATATGAATGTCAATCAGCCTTCTTCCAATGCTTATATAATGGACTTTTGTACGGAGTGGTCATAGCAGCAGGAATGGAAGCTGTAAATGGCTTCAACAATATGGACTTCCCCTCTCCAAGGCTGATATTCCTGTTACCACTGCTATGTGCCCAAACAGCCAATATTCAAAGTGAATACTATACCCCCCCTCCCGCCCAAAAGTACCACTCCCTAGAGAAGAACCAATTAGCCTTTAGAGGATAGATCCCTTACTCTGGACTACTTATATCATATAGACAGCAACAATTTGTTTTCAAAGAACAAAATACATAGTTCAGATACAAATTTGTATTGACTTAAGAGAATGATATTTTTAATACTATGGTATTCTATACAGTATTGCCTCCAAATAACTCATCTTAACAGGGAAAGAAGTATACCAGTGAGTTCAGATATGTGTAATTAATGAATCTATCTATATGCCCCATCATGCAGAAGTATGTGGATTGATATAATGGCTAAAGGCTAAATCTGGGGTGATGTCTTATAGGACACAATATATTTCCTAAACTAAAGACAACAAAGTTTTTTCTCCATGACCAAAATACATAAAGAGGTATAGGAACCAAAGAGAAGGAGAGAGAATGGTTCCTCTCATATATCTAATAATCTATTTGTATTATTTTGTTTCATATCTTCATAATCTTGGATTTGTTGAGTTTTCCAGTACTCAAAGGAGAAGTGCTTCTACTATGAAGCAAAGTAATGATTTTTGTTAAATTTGAAGGTAAGACTGCCTCTTGGCCATTTGGGTTCCTTATGCTATTCAAACAACAGATGAAGAAGGTGTGCAAGTGCTCTGCCACTGAACCACAGCCCCAGCCCCTTCCAGATCTACTTCATATTTGCTTTGTGGCTCTGGGGATTAATACTGATAAACTGCAAAACCTGTGGTTCTATGCTCTGGCTTGCAATTAAATTTGTACAAGAGTAGGAGAATAGTTGAGAGACCAATTGTTCTAGTTTGCCCAAACTGAGGGACTATTGGGATGTGAGATTGTTAGTGCTAAATACCAAGCCAAAAGGTAAGTTGTCCACCCTATATCCTTGATTTTTTTCTTGCTGAGCTAGTCATTCTCTCAGTATCTGCAGGGAATTGCTTCCAGGATCCCTCTTGGATTTCAAAAGCTTCAGATACTAAAATCCATTATATAAAATGGCATAGTATTCACATATAACCTACATACATTCTCCCATGTTTTAATTCAACTCTAGATACTTATAATACCTAATACAATGTAAGTACTATGTAGTCATTAATTTGTATTATTTTTTATGGTTTGTTCCCAAAATATTTTTAATTTTTTTTAAGTTGTCAATGGACTTTATTTTGATTCTTTATTTGTGGTGCTGAGTTTCAAACCCACTGCTACACACATGCCAGGCAAGCCCTCTATCACTAAGCCACAATCATAGCCCTCCCCTCAATTTTTAAATTTTTTTTTGTAGTTGTAGATGGACAACATGTCTTTATTATTTATTTATTTTTATGCAGTGCTGAGGATCAAACCCAGTGCCCCACACATGCCAGGCAAGCACTCTATCATTGAGCCACAATCCCAGCCCTCCCCAAAATATTTTGATCCACAGTTGGTTGAATCTGTGGATGTGGAATCCATGGGTAAGGAGGGCCAACTATACTTGTATTTCTTTAAGAAAAGGCAAAGTTCATATCAAGTGGTTCTATCCTCCAGGATACAGTAATCAATCTCTCCCCTTCCTAAATGTAATAATGGATTTCCACTGTTGTATGCTCAAAGCTGTTCTCAACCCCATAATTTTTGTAATCTTAGCCATCATTCTCACAAAACTTAATTACTCAACTGAATAAGCCATGTTTCCTGCTAAAATCCTAATACTCCTGGCTTAATTTCTCTGTAACTGCTATAATTATGTGATAACATAATGTACATTTATTTATTTTCTGTTTTCCCCCACTGGAATGTAAGATTAATAAGGGTATGGACTTTTTCTATATAGCAATTCATTGCTATATCCCTCAAACTTAGAACAGTGCCTTGCACAAAATAAAATCTCAATAACTAATAAAATTACATGACAAGAAAAAATAAGCTATGATTTTATTAATTAATACACATTTATCAATGGAAAATATTTGTTGAATTAGTTAGCTAAATGATATAAAGGATATATTGATGTTAACTATGACTATTTCTAGATGGTTGAGTTGTAGGTTATGTTTAAATTTTGTTCTGTGTTTTTCTATACTTCACAAAAGGACTCTAGTATAATTGTATAACTCTACAATAAAACAGTGTTATTTTTTACACATTCTAAGAAACATAAACATATGGGATAAATATGTTTACATAAAATTTCAAGGAAGAGGCCCAATTCTACGCTGATTCTCAGAAAGGATGAGGTGCCATGTAATAGATTTTTAGGGAAGGACAAATTCTAAATTCAGGAAATAAACTAAATAAAATAAAATATAATAAAGATGCTCTGAGACTAAAAAGAGGCCAGATCTAGAATGAAAGCAACGACAATGCAAGGTAAATTTCACAAGCAAACAACAGCAATGAGAGAATCAAAATGAAAAAGAGTAACATGAAGTAGAAGTGGAACCCTGTAGCACTTCTGAACAAAGTCAGGATCAAAATGATCTTACTACTAATAACAGTGGCCACTATTTATAAACGATTTACTATGAACTAGGTCTGTTCCAACCTTTACACATACGATCGCATTTAGGGTGTATGGTATTTCATATAGTAGTAACAGAACCCAATGAATCATATCTCCATACCTTTGTGTACTTCCCTTCCACAACTACTCTGGAACTGGGCATTGGCCAATGAGACATTAACAAATGTAACATGTTTATAGGTATGAAAAGTGCTTCTGTATCAGAGAGCTTTCCCTTTCCTTGAGTTTGGAAATATGAGTACTGTGAAAAAGTCTAGGCTAGCCTGCTGATGATGTATGATCCAAGCCATAACAAACAGCAACAGTTACACATGTGATTGATACCATCTTAGATCCAGCCCTATCAGAGACACTAGATGACTTCCTGAATGACCCCAGACAGTATTAGGAAAAAAAAAAAAAAAACCTGCCCAGCTGAACCCAGCTCAAGTTAGCTACTTACAAACTATAAGAAATAACATGGTTTAAAAATGTGATGTTGGGGCTAGAGTTGTGGCTCAGTGATAGCACTTGCCTAGCATGTGTGAGGCACTGGGTTCGATTCTCAGCACCACATATAAATAAATAAATAAAATAAAGGGCCATCAATATTTTAAAAATATTTTTTAAAACTTAAAAAATGTCTGATGTTTTAGGTCATTAAGTTTTGGGGTCCTATATTTTGGAGTAATACATAGACACAATTCTCAAGAAAACCCCCAAGACATGAACTATTATACACTTATAAAGTGGGGAAACAGAACTGTAAAATTACTGGAGGCAGTGACAAAGCTAGTATTTGGATCCATGTCAGCAGACTCCAAATGTTCAAATTTGATCCTATAAGGAGATGAGAGAGATGATGTGAAAAGATCATAAGGAGGACATTCCAAACATTGACAGATTGGTACTAAGGTGATAGACCATA